CTCTCTCTTTTCTCCTCCTCTCTCTCTCTCTCTCTCTCTCTCTCTCTCTATCTATCTGCTTCCATGGAGGGGTTTCATATCAGTTTTTTTCCTTTCACACACACCTTCCAGGTAGCAACATGAGACTGTCTAACCTAAAGCATATACAGATAACTTGCAGGCAGAAAACTTATAAAGTAAAAACTTAATTCAGCCAGTGATACATTATCAAAGAACATAAAGTGATTAATAAATTGAATGAATTGTGCTTTGCAGGGTAATAAAATAAAGAGGGACAGATTTTTTAAATGATATTTTAAATGTATGTAAATCAACTTTTATTATTTTCATTAAGAAAATAGGTATAAGGTCAAACTATTGGATGCTTTTGGGGGGAAGTAAATTGCATAGAAACATCTGTTAACTTTCTCAGAAAATGATCTAAGTTTTGTAGTTCCCATTTCTCTTCCTTCCCTTGTTTTAAATTGTAATACACATGGCAGAACTTAATTGTTTCCTCAGAGCTCTGAAATTTAAAGTGGAAAAGCAGCAGGCAAAACATGAGATCATGTAAGAATAAAACAGTGGCAGAGCTTGGCATTCATGCCACAGTCCCCAGACCAGTCTTTAGGAAAGCAAGAGCTCGTCAAAAATTAATTTGTGCTGTTGATGAAACAATATAAAATGTGAGAGAAATCCATGGCTTCCCAACATAATTTCACTCAGGCACTGAAGCATGTGTGTCAGTACATGTTACTTTGTTTCTAATTTTCATTGTTCATAATGCTAGGAATCTTACCTATGGCTTCTCACAAGGAAAACCACCCCTCCATCCTTGATGATTCTTCTAAATGTCTGTTTTAATTATTGTGTAAGTACTTTTGTTTATATAATGCACAGCACTGTACTTCCTGTTATAGGTATTTAGTTTCTAATTACTTGGCAAAGGGCAAGTCCTGCACTGGCACACTGGCTGTTGAACACATCAATCTCCAGAAGTGACAGAAATGATTAGTCTCCTATGTCACATTGAGCACTTTCTACACTCAAGGGAAAGCTGTACTAGGGTGTCAGGGGTCATCTAGCCAATTATGAAAGCAATGGAGAACTCATTTATTTGCAAGCAATTCTTCTGCCTCTTGTTTCTAATGAGAATCTATGACCATCTTAAATTTACTATAGTTTTCAATCCCTCTTCATATATACCTTCAGTAATTTCATCATTTTATACTATTTTGCTACTTTTTTGTTGTTTCAAAAAGGAGCTGGTGGATGGACACCCCTTGTGTCAAATGAGTATCAATGGCTGCAGATTGACCTTGGAGAGCGAATGGAGGTCACGGCTGTGGCCACCCAGGGGGGATATGGGAGTTCTAACTGGGTGACCAGCTACCTCCTGATGTTCAGTGATGGCAGAAGGCACTGGAAGCAGTATCAGCAAGAAGAAAGCATCTGGGTATGTCTGATGATAGTAGTGATAATAATTGCTATATGTTGCTGCATGCTGTTAGCAAAACAGTGTTTTCAGCTGATATGTAACCATTGCACGTATTTATGGAGGAAAACTTTATGTTTTGAGGTACGTATGCACTGTGTGTTAACTAAATTAAAACATTAACCTAAGAAAAGATTTTTTATTTTTATTTTTTATTTTTTGTTTTTTTGAGACAGGGTTTCTCTGTGTAGCTTTGGAGCATATCCTGGCACTCAATCTGGAGACCATGCAGGCCTCAAACTCACAGTGATCTGACTGCCTCTGCCTCCCGAGTGCTGGGATTAAAGGCATGCGCCACCAACGACCAGTGAAAAGATTTTTTGATAAGAGCTCAAAAGCATAAGCAACAAAAGCAGAATTAAACATACAAGATGGTATCAACCTAAAACAGTTCTGCACAACAATAAACAGGTGAAAAGACAACTCTCAGAATAAGAAGAGATAATTATAAACTAAACATCTCCTGAGTAACAGACTCTTAAGGATTTCTTTAAAAATACTTTCCAACTGAAATTAAGATGTACATTTTAAGAAAACATTGAAAGGTCCTGTTGATATTATGTCCTTAGGTAGTATGGAAGTTTAAGAATAATGTAAGTCACATATAATTTATTTTCTCTTGTTTAACAGCATCTGTATTACTTTGCTTTATTATATTGAATGCATTCTTTTCTTGTTTATCATTCAATCTCATTCTTCTAAAAGACACTGAAAATTTAGAATTTAATCAAGGAACAATTCATGCTTGACAAGTTCCGGAAATGGACTTTGAACTTAGAGAATCATGTGTTATTTTGGTTTTGGTTTTGGTTTTTTTTTTTTTCTATGGAGTACATTGCATTGAATAATCTATAGTGTACTGATCTCAGCAAGATCAGCTGTAATAATTTAGATTTCTTCAGAGTAGTGATGTTATTATTTCTGGCTTTGGTTCTATTCTCAATTCTCTTTAGTGAATCAGTTCTTTTAAATGTGTGAATATTGTAAATGCATTTAATTTTTAAAGATACATATATTAAATTGTATTTGGAAATACTCAAAAGTGTTTTCAGTCTCACTTTACACTAACTGATGATATTTAAAATGTTGGTGACAACTTCCTCATAAAAGTGATACTGCAAAAAAGATGGATCATATGAACTTTGCACAGCATTTGTAATTTGACTTTCTTCTTCCCTGTCAAAGAAAGTATAAGTGATGGTAGGATCATGTGTGATTCTGTTGTTCAGCATCATAGTTCAACAGGAAGCTTTCTGTCCTGCTGTCCAATGACAACATCATTTGCTTTTTACCCTTTAACTCTAGAAGGTTATATGCCTATGGAAAACAATGAAAGGGTATGGTTCTTATGAGAAAGTAACAGCAGGTACAACTCTCCAGTTTCATCCCATGTAAGAGTGTGTCTCTATCACTAGAACAATGACTTATTTTTTGATGCACCATCCTGGTATGAGCTTCTTCTGAGTGTCTTGGCAGAGTCTTTCATCCATGTATCATTTCTATGCATGGTAAAACAGCAGTCCCCCTCCCTCAAACAGATATACTGAATTCCTAACTTGTAGCACCTCAGATTTGGCACTTTTTATTGGAAAATAGGGCTTTAAGGATGTGACCAGTTAAAATGAAGTCTGTAAGAACAAGAGTTGATGAGGAGTTGTCTACAATGGGTTGGCCTTATGAATGTATCTGTGGAGAATTGTTTTAAGATAGTTGTGAAAGATTCAGATTCAGCATATTGTAGGTGCCATTCCTTAGGCAGATTATCCTGAAGTATATAAGAGTGAAGAAATTTAGCTGAATACAAGCAAGTAAGCAAGCATACATGTATCCATTTCTTTCTGCTCTTGACTTTGAATGTGATATAATGAAGTGTTTTAAGTTCCTTCTACCTGGACTTTCTTCTATCCTGGAGTAAAATCTAAAGTGAGATAAAAAATAAACCCTTTCTCCTATAAGTTGCTGTTATGATAAATCTTTCCACCAAAAGCCTCCCGAGCCCCACCAGCACATGTGCGCTTTACGCCAGCTGCCCGCCTGAGTTAGGGCCCAAATTAATACACAGAGAGACTTGTATTGGGTTCAAATGCTGCTTGGCTAATGACTAGGATTCTCATCTGTTAGCTCAGTCTTAATTATCATAAATCTATATATTTTATAAGACTTATCGGACACCTTATTGGCATCGCTCCTTGCCGGTGGCTCACATCCTACCACTGGAGGAGGCAAAGGGGAAAAGGGACACTTCTTATTTCTCCTTGCTCAAATATGAGTCTCCTTGCTACATCACTTCCGGCCTGGATCACCACTTCTCTACTACATTTCCCAGAAGCCTCTTTGACTCCTAGTCCTGTCTAACTTACTGTTTCATTGCCCAAACAGAACTTTATTAAACAATCAATAAGATAAACATACACAGAAGTACTTCCCCCATCAAGTTGCTTTTTGTCAGGATCAAAAATAAAATGAAACTAAAACACTGATTTTTTTAATCTCTGGCTTCCAGCAGTATAGCTGTCTAGTTGCACTTTGCAATCCCATCTTTAGGAAACTTAAAAAATCACTAAGCTTAACTTGTCCTTATAGAGATTATATATCTTGAAACATTTGCTGAATCAGTGATTTGAAGGTATATCACCTTCAACGTTGCATTTCTTGAATAACCACATGGAAAGACTAACCACAAAGAAAGATGACTTTGCCCATCTTTTGGACTTATTTGAATGAAAACTAGGGCTCTCCTCTATTGTTAAGCTAAAGTGGTATTTGAAGATAGAACTTAGTTTTTATATCTTCTTCATCCTTTTGCTGTAATTGGGAAACACATTAGTGAATTCAGTTCCTGCTTTGACTCACTGCACAGAATTTTGTATGTTGAGCAAAATGTTAATGCCACTGAAGATATGGAACCTATAAAACAACTCAGATATTATCTGTAACAAAACAGACTCCAGAGACTTGTGAGCAAAGTGGGTCTTGTATGAGTCTTGAAGAAAGTGTCACAGTGTGGAGTATTAGAAAGTAGTTAATGAAGGCATCCCAGAAAGGTGAAGTGATGTGAACAAGTGTGTGACTAATGCATAAGACCCAATGCAAGGATTTAGATATGAGGTGTGTGGTCAGACCAAGATTGGGGAATGGGAGGGCTTTGAGCAAAGTTATATGATTGTAGATAGAAAAGGTCTTAAATTGGGATCATAAAATATTCAACAGATACGTGAGTTTCTATATCAACATTTCAGGGAAGTTTGCTTTTACTTGTCCTTCCTTCTAGCAAGTGAAGTAACAAGCATAATAGTTCAGGGATATTCTCCACATGCCTATGTTGGTTACAGATCAGTCATATTGATGGAATTTGTCCTTTCTATCACTGCTTCTTTTTCAAGCTGATTTTGGCACCTCTCTAGTCTCTTCATTGATGCTGACATAATAAACTGCTTATAGGAAATGTCTTCCCTCTATCTAAGCATTCATTTTAGTTAGGAGTGGCTAGAACTAAAAATAAGTTAACTTGATGAGATTATTTTAATACCTAAAATGTTGACACTATTGATTTAGAAATTATCTTTTAAAATGTATTTATGCACAAAGGTAAAAATTTGAGCATACTTACTTTGGAGTTATTAACATTTTTATTTAGTTTGTTTAATGTGAATATCCATATATTTATTTAAAATAATAGTGATAATGTATGCATTGTATGCTCTTTCTAAAATCTGAGAAAACTCTGAATCTGAAACAAATGATATACAAAGGCTTTGACAAGTGATACTATGTCTGTCATAACATGTACTGACATTGCTTATCTGAATAGATAACCATATCAATCTTTATTCTTACTATATTCCTTACATTGGCTACTTCAAAGGTTACACTGTGTTTATAATATGTAATATTCAAGAAAACTAGAACAAATTCCACATTTATAGAAAATCTCAAGTAATAAAATTTGTGCTCCAAAGAGAGAAACTCTGCTACTTGAATAGGAAAGAACAAGTCTTTTCTGAATAACAGACAGTGACTCAGGCTCATTTGGTATTAAAGTAAACATCCTCACATGTTACAGTATTTAAAATCTGCACCTGGGATCACCAAGGATCACCCAGGCTGTTACAGAATATTAAAGTGTCTTGTTAGTCAAACAAATTCACAAGGATGAATGAAAGATGAGGACATACAAAACTGATAAAGGCATAAAACTGTTTCAAGATTATTTTCTGGAAAAGGCCAATATATTACTCACATGTTTTCTTGCTGTCATAAACATAAAACAGCTTATGGGAAAAAGGGTTTGTTTTGAATGGCAGTTGGAGAGTACAGATCATCATGGTGGAGGATTTTGAGGTGGTTGGTAACATTTTATTCACAGTCAGGAAGCAGAGAGATTGTTTCTCTATTTATTGTAGGATCATCGCCATTGAATAGTGCCACCCAAACTACGAGGTCTTTTGCATCAGTCAATTTAATCTAGGTAATCCCTCACAGGTGTGACAAGAGGCTTGTTTTCTAGGTGATTCTTAATATGTCAAGTTAACAAACAATATTAACTATCACAAATGACAAGTATTTTTCAGTAGTAATGGAAGTAGTACAAGTAGCCTAATAAAAACAAATGTTCAGGATCAAGGAGTTAAAAATAAGTTTGAAAATCCAGTGTACCATGGCTAGTGAAATGTACCATGATAAGAGTATTCAAAAACATTCTACAAACCAGAGTACTTAGGTTAAAAATATTGACTTGTTGACATGTCCTCTTCCCTGTGTCCCTGCTTACTTGTTCTGTGAAAACTTAAAAATCCTATAAGGAAATAGATAACTATTTCTTTCATTTTGAAATTTGCTACAGGCTGTGATATATGTATTTGGGCTATTATCTAGTCCTGAAACTGGTTCAAGTGGCTCCTTTGAGTATCATACTCTACTTCTCTTTGGATGTCAACTAGACAATTAGAATGTTAATAAAT